TTGTGAAAATTTGATCTGCGGCAATTATGAAACTCGCATGCATGAGAAAATGGAAATATGGTTAGGCCTGGGGTCACGCTTCTGCTGAATTGTGCTGCCTGGAGCTACAGGAATATTACAGGCCTCGAAATCAACTTTACTTCATATTGTCCCAGCACTGTCCCAAAACTTAATTTCTCATTTGTCCTGAAGTGAGGATGAACTGTCCCAACCTGTTTTTGTAAAGTATTGTATGACTTTAACTTGAAGTCAACTTTATTTTGCTTACATTCTGACTCCCAGGTGCACTATATAATTGCAGAGTAGACAGGAAATTCAGGGGACATTTCTGGATCCAAAAGCTGGGGCGTGTGCCTGATAGACAAAAAGACAGCTGACATTTCGATTGTTGATTAGTTTTTAATTGTCCCCAAAATGTCCCAAAGTGCCTTTTTATTTGTCCCAGTGTAGTATTTATTGGTCAGTGGCCATCGGACCACCTTTAGTTTCGAGCCCTGTATTAGTGAGTGTGGTTGGAGTTACAGGGTTATTAGTGAGTGTGGTTGACTTACTTCTAAGGTTGCAGAAATGTGGAACATTAGATTACTTGGGTGCAGGCAAGCCCAGAGTTCAGGGCAGGTTTCGGGTAACATTATTCTGCTCTGCCATAATGTGGAAATAAAGTAGTACATCTGGAGGAATGAAATCAGCTCTGCCTTTACTCAGGTCTACCCTAAGTAACCAGGCTGGCTGCTGTGGCAAGGAAGGGTTCAGAGGTGGGAACATGTTATATACACAGCATCGCCTACACAACAGCTTAGTATACACAGCGTGGCCTACATGACAGGTTTATTGTGTTTAACGGTGGGGACATGAATGTTGTACCTACACTGCATAGCGACAGCTTTACTGTGTGCAGAAATGGGTGGTGAGTTCTGATTGCTTCAGTGATGAGCTGCTATTGTGGTGGTTTGGCAGCTTAGCTGTGCTGATGTGCATGTCTACAGGTACATCACCGTACATGTCATTTAGCAGTCTCCTTTTCAGCGCTGGATTTGTCAAGAGTCAGAGCTGGGGGGAAGAGAAGAGAGTTGTTGACTACCCTGGCAGTGGTGGTTAGTGTACAAGGACAGGGTTTTATAGTTCCCTTTCCGCACCGTGTCTAAAGCTTGTTTCCCAGCAGAGGAAAGAGAAGTGTTCTCCCCTCCCTCCTAGTGCAACCTGACCCTGACCTCTGCCCCATGACCCTGACCTCTGCCCCACAACCCTGACCTCTGCCCCACGACCCTGACCTCTGCCCCACGACCCTGACCTTTGCCCCACGACCCTGACCTCTGCCCCATGACCCTGAAAGGCAGGAAATCCTCCTGCAGGAATCATCTTCACGCCTCCCTGATCATTACTGGTCTGTCTGTCAAGTGGAGAAGTTAGACACAAGCTCACTATGGAATAACTGTCCTGTACACAAGGTCACTGGTCACTGCTGTCCTGTTTCAAGGTCACTGCTGTCCTGTTTCAAAGTCACTGCTGTCCTGTACACAAGGTCACTGGGATCCCTAGTGCTTTCTTGTACACTGTATCAAAGGTTATGGTTAAGCTGGAAATGCACAATGAGATCCATGATAATGGATTGCTTGGCTATGTATAAATGTCAAATTGTTTATATTTTTCCATGATATCTGATTTTTTTTTACTGCTGATGTTTGTGTTTGTGATGTGTGCAGAATGTCAATTGTTATCACCTGTAATCTCACAGGAGGACAGACATGTAAGCCCTGTAAATGCAGGTCTGTCAAGTTTGCCGACTGTTCCGCCGACTGTTGGATGGATCAACTGAGATCACACAGGACAAGAACTGCTCTCAGCACAATGCCCGAGTTGGCTCAAACCTGTTTGTTTAAACAGACATTTGGAGGCTTTCTGGGATATCATATATATTCATACAGTTCAAGCCTGTCTTTCAAGTTCTCATCTGCAGTGTAGCGGCCAGAATGACAGTGTAGCGGCCGGAATGACAGTGTAGCGGTCGGAATGACAGTGTAGCGGCCAGAATGACAGTGTAGCGGCCAGAATGACAGTGTAGCGGTCGGAATGACAGTGTAGCGGCCAGAATGACAGTGTAGCGGCCGGAATGACAGTGTAGCGGCCGGAATGACAGTGTAGCGGCCAGAATGACAGTGTAGCGGCCAGAATGACAGTGTAGCGGCCAGAATGACAGTGTAGTGGCCAGAATGACAGTGTAGCGGCCACCCCTATGCTCCAGTGTGCTGGGGTGAACATAGTTGGGCAGTTATTTTGAGGGTAATTCTGCCACAGAGCAGAGATTTGACGAGGTAGTGAGGCATGTGTCAAGCAAACATTATTGCGCCGGAGGTACTGACTCCACATGGGTATGCTTCCATGCTGTCATGTATTTTGGAAGCTGGCCTGCATATTGCCAGGATACATGTATGTCATGCTTTTTCTTTAGTTAAGGGGAGAATCTTATGTTAAATCCTTTCTTTTTAGGGAAGCACTGAAGATGTAAATTAATACAGGAGAAAATAATTATTGCCTAACTCTAAGGAATGGGGTGGAACAGTGTATGAGATAATCTGGTGTATTTTATTAGTTTTGTATGTCCCAGTTGTGCCTACATGTAAGACTTAATTAGTTAGTGATGTTACTACCAGTAGTGTTCTATTGGCAAATGTATAACTTCTAAGGTACACATTTGTTTTGAGTTCTGCCCTGCTGTTGGCTGACTGTGAGTGAGTTGTTCAGGCTTGGATCAGATGTTAAATGGGACATGCCAGATCTGTCAGAAGGTCTGCCTGTGCAAACATGGTGGCGTGTTGCTTACTTAACTTACTCGCCCTGTGTCACATAATACTTCATCTGACTCTGACTCATAGACTCACATACTCACAACAGCACTATAGACTAGTACCTACAAATCTATACATTTATAACATTTATAAAACTAGTACCTACAAATCTACACATTTATAACAGTTATAAAACACTAGTAAGTACAAATCTACACATCTATAATAAGTCTACAGATATTTGAGCCCTTCCCTACCCGGCCTGTCGCCACATCATTTTATTTCCTCGCTTTACAGTAAAACTTAAGCAATAAGTCATGATAACAGAGTATGAAAAAAAATTAAAACAGTTCATCTAACTCACAATGCATTCCAACCCTGAAACTGTGTGTCCCAGATTGTTTTCATGTTCTCCTTCCAGTTTAGCATTATTTTTATTTTAATCCGTGGATGAATAAATTACGGTCTTGTGGCCCGAGTGTTGTTTTAGGCTCACAGCCTCTCAAATCTGCAATAAACTGTCAGTAAACATCATTCGTCGTTCAATGATTGTCTCTAAGGCAGGGAAGGAGTCTTATGATTGCAAAGAGCAACACTCTCAGGGGCAGACTCACAAGCAGAAAATGTAAGATGTGTGAGTTTCACATCACAAGGCCAGACATGGCGACTCCACAGGCCAGACCAAAGCAGTTTCCTGGTTCTTGCTTGAACTGGAAAATTAACATGAAACAGAGTTTGAGGAGGAAGTCTGTACTGTAACATTATAATTTTCAGGGACTGAACGTTGACTTTCGAGATTTGTAATTTTCCTTGTGCCCTGTTTTTATCTTCATTCTTGCTATACATTTTTGTATTTTTAGTGTGGAATGTGCAAAAACAGAATTAACTTGCAGGGGCCTGAGTGCTGTCCTCAAGTGTCACATGACATTGTGACTTGTTCCCGGGGTATGCTTTTGTTGTGACTTGTTCCCGGGGTGTACCTTGGTTGTGTCCTTGTCAGTTTTAGCCGTTCTCAGAACTCAAGGAAGCTGCATCAGAAGTGGGGGAAACAGGAAGGGAGGGGTAGGGCGATACAGGAAGAGAGTTTAGAAGCTTGTTGTATTCACAGTCTGCTCTGTAGCTGTCTGATAGTTTGTGGAGCCTCTACTCTAGACAGGGCCTGGCAGAGAAAAAATTGTGTATCAACTATTAATGCTCAGAGACTTAAGAGCTGAGTGCGGAAGGGTAAAACATTAATTTTGCTTAGGAGACACGTATTTCTTTTTACACAACCGGTAATTCTCACCTTGCTGACGTTTCGGGGTCTGTCAGACACCTTCTTCAGAGCTTTTGACTGGAGTACTGCATCTCGCCGCTATATGTAGCCGATGTAGGTGGCGCTTTTGCGGCGAGAACACAATCCCAAACGTGGCTTAGTTTGTACCCCCCCTCGTCCCAGTTCATTACAGGGGTTGACTTTCTGATCCAAACTGCCTCCTTGATCCAGCGGGTTCTATTGTCTTCTCTGTCTATAACTTTACTTTGACTCGCCCCCTCCGAGTCAATTGTTTCTAGCAATGTGATCTGTCACTGCTGATTTCTTTTCTTCTTTTTGTGCATGTCTTTTCTGTGATCTTGTGTACTTCACAGTGTCCATGTTGTCAGCTTCCTTCTTGTGTTCTTCCAATCTAGTCCCAAGGGTGGGTCCCGTTTACCCAATGTATAACCGAAACGTCAGCAAGGTGAGAATTTACTGGTTGTGTTAAAAGTAATACCTGTCTCCTAAGTTCTACCAACCTGATGAAACTATTTTCGGAAATTAATTTTGCTGTTGCTTAAGGAAATACTGAACAGTCTCGTTTGATATATTATTGTTTTACAGGACTGATGTTTGTATATCCATTTCTGATGTTTGATTATATATTCGTACATGTATTTACAATTTGGATGTTTATTGTGTTTGTATTTATACTGTGTTTGTAGGTAACACTTGTTCCTTATATACTTGCACCTCAGTTGTCTAACTTATTGCATTTGGCCCATGTAGGGCGTGAATATGCATTAAAGTTTATTGTCATTGTCATTTACACTTACAGTTCTGATGTTTGAGTCATGAGACTGCTGAACTCCAGGACCAACTTCAAGGCTATATGGCTGGTGACGTGTTTGTGTTTACTGTTTGTGTTTACATGTTTACTGTTTGTGTTTACATGTTTACTGTTTGTGTTTACACAGTTCTGATGTTTGAGTCATGAGACTGCTGAACTCCAGGACCAACTTCAAGGCGCTATGGCTGGTGACGTTCATCTTCTGTGTGCTGAGCCTGACGTTCTGGAGCCGGCAGTGTCCGGAGGAGCAGGCGCGCCCGGCCCTGTCCCATGGAGAGAGGGGGGATTACTACGACCAGGAGAAGCCTAACCCCGACGCGCTGCCCAACGCGGCCGCCCCCCCACATCACCTCAGCATCCTGACGGCCGACAGCAGCCAGCTCAACCCCAACGCGCTGCCGCCCGGCAGACATAAGTACCAGCCCATCGAGTGCCTCATCAACGATGAGTACAGCATCGAGTGCCGCCGGGAGAACGAGGAGGTTTACGTCCCGTTTAACTTCCTGGAGAAGTACTTTGAGGTGAACGGGCACATTGCTGAGTACGATGGGTACGACAGGTTCGAGTGGCAGCACAGCTACTCCCGCATCTACCAGCCGCGCGGCCCGTACTCACCCGAGGGCATCTTCATGTCGTTCGAGAACTACAACGTCGAGATACGAGATCGCGTCAAGGCCATCAGCGGGGTGGAAGGTACGTAACCTGTAACCTGTGACCTTTACCCTAACCTGTAACCTGTGACCTTTACCCTAACCTGTAACCTGTGACCTTTACCCTAACCTGTAACCTCTAACCCTTACACTATCCTGTAACCTCTAACCCGTGAAGACAGCACATCAGCAGAACGTCTCATATAAGGTCGATTTTGCTTATATAAGGTTAACATCCTGTCTGTAGTTTCCGAATGTTATGTTGGAAAACATATATTCAAATTTGCAAATAGGCAAAATTCTGAATGCAACACTGACCAAAATCCAACAAAAATTATAAAAAATCAGGGTGTCGCCCAGGCGCAGTACGTTCTGCCAACATGCTCATGGACATGGAGACTATGTCAAGGCCATCAGTGGAGAAGACATAGTACAGCAGACTGACTTACTGTAACTATCCATAAGACAATAACTACAACAGCCTAGTCAGGTCAACCAAAATCAAATTTAAACCTCCTAGTCCCAACCTACATGTTTCACCTTCCCATCTATAATACATGACCCAAACAGCGGACAGGGAGGCTGGGATATCTCAGGTGTCGGCGGCAGGAACGTCGCTCTGCTACAGTTTAGGCCAGACTTATGCATATTTAAAGGCTCCCTTTATCCTGTAATCCTGCATCTCCACTTCTCCTGCTGCTGAGTGCTTTTAGCAGCGCTGCAGGTCCAAGCAGAACAGACAAGTGTGATGCTGCAGGCTGAAAAATTATCGGCACGTCCGCAATTCTGTCTTTAAGTGTCAGTTCCATGTCTTTAAGTGTCACTTCCACATCTTCACGTGTGTCTTGATGTGTCAGTTCCATGTTAGTGGAGAGATGTGAGGAGACCTGTTAGCCTGTACAGAACATCACTTTAGCTGCAGGACTGTTAGCCTCCCAGTCAGGGAGTTAGAAGAGAAATTTTTGCAAAAACAATGCTCAGCTGTCAGATAAATCTCCATCCAGGGTCTCATCACTCACAAACCTCACATCATCAATCTAACAAATTAAATCCATCATATCTGAGGAGAGACGAAGCAAAAACATGGGATTTATCAGTGGACCCAATTCTCTACAGTTTTAATATAATAGACGATTGTTATGAATATGCATATCTCAGTCCTGCATGTTTTCTCATGGTGATAATACTAAGCTCTTCTACATATATACAAGCAAGGCACAATCAATTAAATATATAGCATAAAAACATACACTATTTTACACACGGTGTCAAACAAAGTATACCCCCATAGGGATATACCCAACTCCAGTGCTGTTTTACCACCTGTTTAGAACCACTGTGTTTTTCAGCCATTGTTTGACCATCTTCTTTGCGATCTGTGCAGGAATTTATGCACCTGTACCTTTGCACAGTTATGCAGGAATTTATGCACCTTTGCACAGTTATGCAGGAATTTATGCACCCGTACCTTTGCACAGTTATGCAGGAATTTATGCACCTGTACCTTTGCACAGTTATGCAGGAATTTATGCACCTTTGCACAGTTATGCAGGAATTAATGCATCTTGGCACAGTTATGCAGGAATTAATGCATCTTGGCACAGTTATGCAGGAATTTATGCACCTGTACCTTTGCACAGTTATGCAGGAATTTATGCACCTTTGCCTTTGCACAGTTATGCAGGAATTTATGCACCTGTACCTTTGCACAGTTATGCAAGAATTTATGCACCTTTGCACAGTTATGCAGGAATTTATGCTCCCGTACCTTTGCACAGTTATGCAGGAATTTATGCACCTTTGCACAGTTATGCAGGAATTTATGCACCTTTGCACAGTTATGCAGGAATTTATGCTCCCGTACCTTTGCACAGTTATGCAGGTTTTTACCAGTATAGTTGGCATATCATCGCGAGGCTGCTTGTCTGGGTGTGCATCACCATTTTACGCCGGGAAGTTAATGACGCCGCCCGTAAAAACGGCCGCCGAACCCGTAAACTGGATTGCCTCAAGGTCGTAAACCGGCCGATGTAATGTCCTTTTCATGTGTCTCCTGCACAGCAATTACAGTAATTGTTTAACGTTTGGTCTGCAAGAAATATCAACTCTGCTGTTACATAATATTACACCAGTGTGAACAAGCCTAAAACCCTACATTACCAGATACTGACGTGGAATTATAGTAATTGTATAATGTTTGGGGGACCTGATGTATCAACTCTGCTGTTACATAATATTACAAGCCTAAAAACCCCACATTACCAAATACTGACATGGAGTAACAGTAATAATCTATTAATAGCGTATTCTTAGGTCGACTTTTCTGTAAACCTGAAACATAATTATACTATTTGCTGACGTTCTACTTATTTTATTTTATATGGTGCACCGAAAAAATGTTGTGCACTCAATGTTCTAGGTTGGGTGCACCTATTCATAAAAATGAATTTTGAGCCCTGCTCGAAGGGACCTTACATGTACCTGAATGGACACGTAGTAATTATGTTCACCAGGGGAAGAGTCCCAACAGCCTTAATAAAAGACACTGCACCTACATTATCACATCGTGCACCTACATTATCACATCGTGCACCTACATTATCACATCGTGCACCTACATTATCACATCGTGCACCTACATTATCACATCGTGCACCTACATTATCACATCGTGCACCTACATTATCACATTGTACTTAGTCTAGTACAAAGGAGAGTTATTCTGCCTCCTGTTTCTGTGTGCCGCGCTGCTGTAGTTGGTTCTTTGTGAGGATTATCTAGACGATGCTACGGACAATTAACTCGCACAGAGCCGTGGGAGGCTGCCAGGATTAAACCAGCTGAAACACGCCGATAACAAACTAAGGCCACACCAATTTCATTTGTTGGTTCCCGGATTTTTTCAGAAAAAGTATTCAAGCGACAAAAAAATAAATAAATAAAAATAAAAACAGACCAAGGGATCATGATAGCCCCAAATGGCATGATAGAAGCCATTAAGTCAACATATCAGCCTGGGGCTAATTTGCAATTCAGACATTAATTAATATTTATAAATTTAAAACCTTTAATCAAACTACTGCATTGATAGATGGAAAAACTGTAACAACTCTGTAGAGAAGGGACCTCCTTTAACAAAATATGAGCATTTTGGAGTTGATTCAGAGGCTGAAATGTTTTCATTTTTTTTTTGCAAATCAGAAAAAAATCCATGAACCAACAAATTAAATAATGTGGCCTAAGCAGCTAAAATTCACACGGAGCCTACGTACTACCCACCTATGTACCTACATGTACCAGTCCTCATACAGAGTGCTCACATGCATATGAAACTGTGATTTGTGTAAAATGTAGACAGAAATGAAACATTGTATTTCGTGAGGTCCTACGAAAACTCCAGGACATTAAATTTATCGGTGATAAATGTGCAGAGAGTACAGCTTTGCCCCAACATTAGTGGTACATGACTGTGACTGTGTCTGGGTTTATGAGTTAGGTACATGGAACTCTAGTCCTTCGATCTTTGTTGCTACCATGTCTGTATTTTACTGCAGAATAGCCTGATGTATTACAGCCCTAGAGAAGGCAGCAGAGCCATGGATTTATTGGATATTTACCGTGTTCTTTCTGTAGGAAACACGGCGTTATGGATTTTTGTTTTATTGTGAATACTTCATCATAACTCATCTTTTATGGATCTCAACTCGGTTGGAGTCTGTAGATTTCTTGGAATGATAAAGAAAAGGGCTGCTTCGCTGTTTTACATCTAAGCCAAGGGTTACCAGAACTGTTCGCAACACAGTCTGGGCTATAATATATCAGGCAAATCAGCTACAAGCACAAATACACATGTAGCAGGCAAAGTCAGCTGCAAATATCAGGCAACTTGTTCCCATGTCGACCCAGTCCTGTTTGTTTGTTTGTTTGTTTAGTGGTTCCGGTGTCAACCCAGTGGGGCCCAGACTCGTACTTCTACCCTATCCAGGTCGCCCAGTTTGGGCTAATGTTTGATTGTTTGTTTGTTTGTTTGTTTAGGAGTTCCTGTATCGACCCAGTGGGGCCCCGACCCGTACTTCTACCCTATCCAGATCGCGCAGTTTGGGCTGAGCCACTTCAGTAAGAATCTGACCGAGAAGGAGCCGCGTGTGACGGTGTTTGAGCGGGGAGACGGGCAGGTGGGGACCAGGTGGGACGTCCCGGGGAAACAAGCGCAGGTGGAGTCAGTCACGGACAAGGGCTGCAGCTGCAGGGTGCTGCAGTTTCACACAGGTGAGAACAACCTTAACACACCTGTTCCTGTACCTAACCTTAACCCTAACCCACCCAAGGGCTGCAGCTGTAGGGTGCTGCAGTTTCACACAGGTGAGAACATTAACCTCTAAACTCTCACAAAACAGCACACAGACTTTACCTTAACCCTAACCCACACAACACAGGTGAGAACAACCAGAACACACCTGTTCCTGTACCTAACCTTACCGAGCTAAACCTTAACCCTAACCCACCCAAGGGCTGCAGCTGCAGGGTGCTGCAGTTCCACACAGGTGAGAACCTAGTAACCCTAAACCTTACCTCACTACACCCACTACAACCTTACAACACAGTAAAGCCTTAACCCTAACCCACCCAAGGGCTGCAGCTGTAGGGTGCTGCAGTTTCATACAGGTGAGAACAACCTTAACCTTACTTACATGTAGCTCCCTACAACCTTACAACACAGGTTAGCACACAAACTTTACCTTAACCCTAACCCACCCAAGGGCTGCAGCTGTAGGGTGCTGCAGTTCCACACAGGTGAGAACATTAACACACCTGTTCCTGTTCCTGTACCTAACCTTAACCCTAACTCACACAGCACAGGTGCTAAGCCTTAACCCTAACCCACCCAAGGGCTGCAGCTGCAGGGTGCTGCAGTTTCACACAGGTGAGAACATTAACCTCTAAACTCTCACAACACAGGTTAGCACACAGACTTTACCTTAACCCTAACCCACACAACACAGGTGAGAACAACCAGAACACACCTGTTCCTGTACCTAACCTTAACCCTACCTGTCTGGTGCAGGTAGTTTGGACTGTTACCAGCATCAGCGCAGTATTTCCAGCCCAGTTTTTCCTTAGCCAGTCCGGCTCCACAGCTCTCAGCCTGGCTCCAAGTCCCATCAACTTTATCAACCTTCCATCAGATCGTCTGACAGACAAGCGGGCTAGCCGACCTCCTGTTGACCTGCAATTATTGTGGGCACTTTGTGAGTTTATTACTAACTAATATTAGCCCGCAGCTGGCAGGAATGTAGCAGGAGAGAGCTCAGAAGGAGCCCTTGTGATGGGAAACTGTTCTGAAGTCACTTGTTCTCAATCTCTTACTCAGTGTTCCCCTGGGAGTTACTCAAGTGTGCGGATGTCTTACATTAGATTGTTGTGCATCCCTAAATGCCACTAAACCATGAGATTCAGCAGATGGATTCACAGATGGATTCACTTCTATGAAATAAAGACTAAACTTTCCTTCCAACACTGGAATGAATTTGGACAAATTTTTGGCTGACTTCAACCTTGTTCATTCACGGAATGGACCTGTCTACGTGAGGTTAGAGACACGTGACCGTAGTAGCGGGTCATACGGGCCAGATAACTTGTGTGGCCCTGCATCAGCCCAAATTGTGAACAAACAAAATTTATTCTAGATTGTGTGTTATGTAAATAGTAAACAACAACAGTCAACAATTCCTTGAGGAAATGAGCCTGTAATTTTCCAACTGAGAAAGACTGCCTGAAGTTGAGTCCATGGCAGTTTGTGCCAGCTGAGTTCCGGTTGTTCTCTCGGCACAGCTGGCTCCGTGGCCTTCACACACAGAACCCTGAACTTTGCCAGGCTGTCTCCATCCAGGCGAACACAGTTTACGAAACCCTCCCAGTGTAACTTCTACCTGTGGCAGACAGCGACGTCTTGGCTTGGGTTATGTGGAGGCTGTTTGCAGCTGGCTTAGTGGCCTTTACACACAGAACCCTGAACTTTGCAGACTGTCTCCATCCATGCAAACACGGCTACGACCTTTGTAAGGCAATTTACAGCTGCTCTCAGCTGCAGACAGAAATCTGCCTGATTATCTGGTGAAAACTGGTCCAAGAGAGACTCCCTGATGTCACAGGAGTCAGCAGAAAGGTTGCCATTCCCCACCTCTGCTGAAACAGGCCCTGTGCAACATAACAGACTCATCTTGGGGCTTGTTCCTCTGCTGTGCCCAACTATGCTAATGTAGGGCAGTATCATACGGATTACCTTATTCAGCATATTTCTAGTTTTGCTACCTTGATAAGTAAAAGAGTAAGACAGGACAGAAGACATGCAGCCAGAGTCACCTGGAAGCAAAAAGTAGCAACTTACAAGTGCAGACCCACTTCCTGAATGGTAGCTCCCACTTGTGTATCCAGTTACAAGTGCCAAGGCCGAGGCTGGTGATCTTGACCTTCAGGCTTGCTGAAGAGTGGTGCCTAATCTCAGGGCAGACCGCTAACTTTGATGTGGTGCTGTAAGAATCAGTCCTTCCTGCAGTAACCTGAGCTGTGCTGTAAGAATCAGTCCTTCCTGCAGTAACCTGAGCTGTGCTGTAAGAATCAGTCCTTCCTGCAGTAACCTGAGCTGTGCTGTAAGAATCAGTCCTTCCTGCAGTAACCTGAGCTGTGAGTCCTTCCTGAGCCTCCTAATTCCTTGTTGTTGGACCAAGTGCAGCAGACGTGAGAAACTCCCTTCTCCTGGCATCTTGTCGCTCCTTCAGAAGCTCCTGGTGAGGAAATGCTTCAGTGCAAGGATGGCCAATGTCAAGTTTGCTTTAGCCATGTCGTGTTGAACTAGAAGGATGGCCAATGTCAAGTTTGCTTTAGCCATGTCGTGTTGAACTAGAAGGATGGCCAATGTCAAGTTTGCTTTAGCCATGTCGTGTTGAACTAGAAGGATGGCCAACGTCAAGTTTGCTTTAGCCCCGTGTTGAACTAGAAGATCAACACGAACCTGTCTGAGGAAAAATGGCTCACACTGCTGTACATGTAGGTAGTCTGTACCTAGGCTCACACACACTGAGGAAAAATGGCTCACACACACTGAGGAAAAATGGCTCACACACACTGAGGAAAAATGGCTCACACACACTGAGGAAAAATGGCTCACACTGCTGTACATGTAGGTAGTCTGTACCTAGGCACACACTGCTGTACCCCAAGCTTGTTAAAGTAACTGTACCCTAAAAAAATAAGCTCCAAGAACAGTATCTGTACAGCAGTGGAAAGTGTAATATATGATATATGCCAGCATACACACCATAGTTCCCTGTACTATTGTTCCCTGTGGGCATTCCAGAAGTTACATGAAGGTCTGTCCTGCCAACTCTGCAGTACACACTAGCAGCACCCCCTAACAGAGAAATGAGTACTGCAGCTGGAAATACATGCTTCCAGCACACAAGCATGTGAATGTCAGGCTGATCATAATCCAAAGAAGAAGAAGCTCAATTTTTTAGTTTTTAAGCCCAAGAACTGACACAAATTGATGTGGTGTGGGTTTGGCCTTTTGACAGTCCCAACTGTGAAAATGATATTTGTCAACAATAACGAGGTCCCACTGCACCTTCTAACAACCGCTGCTGGCTAATTAGTTTGCCTTGTTAATTAGTGCTAGTCCAATCCATTCCCACTAAGCTCAGTACTGTACTTCTGTATACAGATCCTTCCTTCCTACAGCAAGCTGGAGTGATCAGCTATTGTATGGGAGTTTGAGAGGGTTTTCTCTGGTGCATACATGTACACATTCTGGCCAGGAAAACCTTAAATGTACACTTGGTATTTTATAAGGAAAGTTAAATAGAAAAAGTTCCAGAAGGCTCAGCACCAGATATCTTCACAGAAAGAGGAAAGCAAACCGGCAAAGTTCCAGCATTTCTGTAATCCTACATGTTGTAAGACAGTGTAACTTGTCTTACCTACGGAGAAATAAGATGTAACTGAGGTCTAACCTGAGTGTCTGGATCCACCAGACAACATTTAAAAGCTCCTCAAACTGGAGCTAATTGATTCATTAGCGTTAACTTGCCTTTAAGTTAGCTTTACTTTCAGCAAGGAGGTTCCTTGATTTTAGATGTCCTGTGTGTATTACATATGTCTATCCATGTAACCTGACACCTGTCCATGTAACCTGACACCTGTGTGTGTAACCTGACACCTGTTTGTGTGTTGCAGACGTGCTGCCTGCAGGTTTCGGCCCCACCCTGATGCTGGGAGCCACGTCAGACCAGATCCTGTCCTTCCACGTGAAGTTTTCCCCGTCGGCCGTGCTCTCCAACGTGTCTGTGGTGGTGGACACGTCCTACAAGAAGCAGTACATCCTGCACTACACGTCCGGCACGGACCTCATCTCTGCGAAAGGCACCAACATTTACTACGGCATCGGGCCCAGGCCAGACTGGAGCCTGATCACCAGGGACCTGCTGTGTGACCTCAGGAAAGGTGTCGGCCTCTCCAACAGCAAGTCCGTCAAGAAGACAAAAATCACCATCAAGAGGGTGTCAAAGGTCATCCTCCAGGGAGCGGGGAGGATCAGTAACATCACCATGGCAACGTCCTCCCATATCCCGCAGTTCTTCGACGCTGCTGATTGGTTTGTGCGTAACCAGGACGACGCTGGCGGGTGGCCGATAAACGTTGTCCGTAAGCTCGTGGACGGGATGCAGGAGCTGCCTCCGGGCTGGTACTCCGCCATGGCGCAGGGCCAGGCCATGTCCACACTCACGCGCGCCTACACCAGGACTCGCCACAGGCGGTACCTCGATGCCGCCCTGCGCGCCACCAAGCCGTTCCGCGTGCCGTCTGAGAAGGGCGGCGTCCTGGCCGTGTTCATGGGGCAGCACCGGTGGTACGAGGAGTACCCCACCACACCAAGCAGCTTCGTGCTGAACGGGTTCATCTACTCGCTGATCGGTCTGTACGACCTGCAGCAAACCGCGCCCGGGGAGGAGGGGAAGGAGGCTGCACAGCTGTACCAGGAAGGCATGCGCTCGCTGAAGGCTCTCATGCCGCTGTACGACACGGGCGCAGGCACCGTGTACGACTTGAGACACTTCATGCTGGGCATTGCCCCGAACATTGCGCGCTGGGACTACCACACCACTCACGTCAACCTGCTGCAGCTGCTGGTGTCCATCGACCCTGACCCAGTCCTCGCTGGGACCCTGAAACGCTGGGTGGGCTACACCAAGGGCAGGAGGGCCAAGCACAACTAGATCTGCAGCAGGAAGGCCAAGCACAACTAAAACTTCAGCTGGAGGGCCTAGCACAACTAGCCCTGCAGCAGGGGCTACCTCTAGACTTCAGCAGGGGGCTTAGCACATCTAGACTGATGGCACGCGGGCCAAGCACAACTACATGTAGCCTCGTAGCAGAAAGGCCTAGCACAACTAGCACCAGCACTTGTACAGAATGTTATATTTGTATCAAATAAGAAAAGAGCTATCTGTGGACATAGTGTTACATTTCAAGCAAGACATTTTTCTAGAGTCTACATTTTGAGTTATGTTATATTTACATGTTTCTTTGAAATGATGGTAAAAATTGATGTTACTATAAAGCAATGACAAAAATTGATGTTTAAAGGCACCGTGACTTAAGTTTAAGAATAGCAAATAACAGCTTTTTAAGGCCTTGTAGAAGTTCCTTTTGTTACTGAAAATTCGCTGATGGGTTTGAATGTTGCAAAAGTTTGCTTGCTAGGTAAAACAGGTGGAGTTTGGATTGTAACTATGCTGCCAGTAACATTCCTTTTAATATTCTCTTGAGATTCATTCTATCGAAGATGAATCACAGAAAGCGAACAAGCTGACATCTTATCTGGTGTAAAAAGCTGTATTCAAAATAGGAAGGAATATTGGTTGGTTTTGTTCCGTAGTTTAAGACTTTTCTGTAATTGGTTAATCATAATTTTGAATTGACCAATCACATTGGTGACTTATGAAACTTGTCATTGGTCAGTGCATCAATTTACTGGACCATTGGAAGTGCAGGAAATATCTTGGCCTGAAAATTATAAAAAATAATTTTGTTGTGGTAAAAAATGAACTTACTTTCCTGCCTCTGTAGATTTGATTTGATTCTCGCAATTGTTCTTAAACACCATTAATTTTGTTTTTGTAAGCTTCTACATGTAGAGCTTTTGAAGTTCTGAGAAGTCAAGTTTATGAAGTTATTATAGCTGTAAGGATGAATGAGAGACCCTTTCCACACACGGAGACCATCAAACAAAGTACAATGTGTGTGACTTGGTCCAATGAATTATGTTCCATGATTTAAAAGTATGTCAATGAAATTCCTTTGCCCAGAATATAATGATTGTTGGTTGGCCTTCCTGAGTGGAGTAGGGTCTAGTGGATGCGGTGCCTCATAAGTTTGTAATATTCTAATAATAAAGCAAAGGTTGGCTGTAAATATGCATATAAAGGGTTTCAGAGGGAAAAAATTTACTGTTGATGTATAAACTACTGTTTGGTGCAAGTGGAGCTTCGGTGCAGAGTTACTGTGATGAAAAGAGATGCTTTGCAAACATTTGTGAGGTTATTTTTGTGTGGAATTTGGAAAGATACAAGTAAACTCTTGTCAAGCCAAGATCCAAGTAGCCATATTAGGAAGTTTGTATTTCAAAATTTGATGTACAAAATTTCAGCCTGTAAAATAGAACAAGGTTGTTTTAACTTGACAATTAATTATTCATACATTAGGTGAAAAGCCAGAAACTGGTGGTGCCTGAAGAGTTAGTTTGTCTGCCGAGGGCCACGTCAATGTAATTTGTTGGTTCTTGGATTGTAAACAAAATATGATAAACAACAGCCTGACATCCGTGCCTGAGGACCAGGTTTATTCCTCTGGGCAGTTTTACGGACAGAAGATCCAACTCTCCTCCTGCTGTCTGCTTTACGATGTCTTTACAATGTCAGCTTGTTAAATGTTCACCTCGAGTCGTCCTGGAACCAAGGAAGTAAATTGGTGAGGCCTTATCCACCCGTCACGCACCAAAGACTCTGCCCTTATGTTATGTGGAATGAACTAGTTTTTGTGAGTGTATATAGCTACTGACTTTTCAAGAATATAATTATGAAGTATGAACAATTTAAATGATAGGCTTTTAGATGTGTATAAATGTCTCAGTGTGGCCTTAAGGTGAGTTGGAACTTACAAAACTGTAATTTTTGCCAGGGTACAACTACAGCTGATCCATATTTTATTTTTCAAAGCTTTTTGCATTGCTTAGAGCAAAGCATGACAATTAAAGGCAGACAAGAGGGAGTATTTTTTATTACCACTTGGATGCATGCATGCAACATATGTAGCAATTTTACACATGCCTGCAACATATGTAGCAATTTTACATGTGCGTGCAACACATGTACATGTAGCAATTTTATGTAGCCGAGGAAGACTGAAATTTTCACGATCACAGAAAACGGGTAAACCGCAATTTACCATGGCAACGCATGTACATGCCTACTGTGTGTGTCGTCATGGTGATCATTTGGTTTGCTCGGAATAATTCTTTTTTTCTTACCAAAAAAAGGAAATTAAGGATCCATGAAATGTTTTTTATAATTTAAACAGAAGCTCTGATTTCCTCCTGTTCTATGACTTCCATGAGCCCTGCCCAGTGTTTCTATGGCAGTGCTGGTAGAAGTTTCTCTGGTCTGACTTCGGTGGAAATGTGACTATATGTAATTATGCATGTAAAGATCTGCTATGTACAACAGACTATCAGTCATGTCAACTACATGTCAGTAAAGACATGCTCGGCTTTCATATCTCTGAGATAACATTAGGCCACACCAATTTAATTTGTTGGCTCTCGGAATCACCTCTTCATTTTTTCTGATTTGCAAGAAAAGAAAAGATTCTGGTTCTGAATCAACTAAAAATGCTCATATTTTGTGCCCAACAGTTGAAAAAAGTCCTTTTCTTCCTAGTTGTTACATTTTTTTTCCATCTATCAATGCAGTGGTTTGATTCAAGTTCAAAATTCATTGTTTACATTTTAACCCAGCCTTTTGTGTTGACTTCATGGCTCCTATCATAGCATTTGGGGCTATAAGGGGATGCCTATATAGACGTGTTTTTATATTTTCTATTTTTTATTGCCCTGTCGCTTCATATTTTTTCTGAAAAAATCCAAGAACCAACAAATTAAATTGGTGTAGCCTTAGCACTGCCACTCCAACACCCCCCATGTCAGAACACAAGCAACTTACAATTCTAAAAGTTATTTCAGCAATTGTAAAGTTTCTTTCTTGGAAACCAGAAAATCTGTTTCCCATATTTTCCATATCACTGATAACAAGACACTCTTGGTACTATTTTGGTGAAGTATTCTGTATTAGTACAATATTAAATAATGACTGAAATTTGCCAGCCCGTCCGGAACTATTAAAAAGATACAAATGTTTACAGTATTACATGTAATTATTTTGCAGCTAGGAACTATCATCAGGATACGAACTTTAGTTTTATTAATACCTGCCTTTTGTAAGGAATTGTCTTCTCACTGTGAAAAACAAAATAATAAACAAAAATAGAACTGCAACTTTGTGCTTCAAATGTAGCGTTACTTGCGTGTGTTTTACCTTAATATATTTTATTTATTTCTGTTTTCTTCTATCGACTATACTATTCTAAACTGGGGGTGGACGGATGGATGGATTCACTCTACCGATAAGAAATGAACTGTAACGTGGTCATCACAGTTCCGTGAACGGATTAAGCCTGAACAGATGATGATTGTTTCTCTAAAAGTCTCCATAAAATGCCAATAGTTTTAAAACATCTCCTTCTTCCCCCCCCCCACCAGCGAAAATTAGACACGCCATAAAACTCAAACATTTTTGGACAACATCACATTTGATACTAGTATCCAATATCTTAGCTATTCATTTTCGAGAAATAATAATATACGTTACACTGCAATAGATTAATATTTCCATATGTGCGTACATACAGAATCCTAAATTAAGCAGATTGCCGGGGTGTACTATCTATACTATACTTTTACTTGACAAACAAAGGTATGAAATGTCTATCTCAAAAATATATAATATTGTATGATTATTGTATGTATTTCAATTCAAATATTCTGAAAATACCGTCAAATGGCAATAACGTAAAAACATTGTTTGTTGGACTTCACCTGAAAGCAAAATGTAATAGTCCAAACTCCGACGCACCAATCACCATCCACGTACGACAGACCAATCACCATCCACGTTCTATTGCATACAAGTTTTCCCGCCAGAGTTCACATTCCGGAGGTGACAGCCGCTAGCGCTAGTCGTGCATCAGCATTGAGGTAAGAATTTACAATTTTCTGCCGTAGAATTTCATGTTTTACTCGTGTATTACCTGGTATAGAGTACATACAGCAATATGTCGTGTGTCCTGGCTTATTTTCGCTTGTTTTTAAGGCATTTCTGACAGGAACTTTGGCGTTAACTTCAGTTTTAGAATTGCTTACTCAGTGACAGGAACTTTGGCGTTAACTTCAGTTTTAGAATGGGGCATAATAGATATTGTCGGTCAAAATTTGAAGAAGAATTAATTTTCCACCGGATGTTTACCTCAGAATCTTCAGATAAAATGTTGTGACATCTAGCAGTATCACTTTCAGCTTAGTTTTAGCAGATTTTATAGGGAAAATTTGGGAAATGTTGAGTAGCGGTCTCACGTAGGTGTCCCTGGGAAACGGGCGGGTTGTCCCGTTTAGTTGGAAAGCATGACACGGGGCACTTGCGTCCGTCAAAATTTCGTGACAATTTGATTTTCCATCCGATATTTACCTCAGAATCATTATATAAAATGTTGTGACATCTAGCAGCATCACTTTTAGGTCGGTTTTAGCATATTTTTCCTCAGAATTTATCGAGAAAATGTTGAAAAATGACGGCGGCTGACCGTCTGACTGAGCTGTCAATCATCGCTCGTGTCAGCACGTGGCAAGTGTACATGTTGTGTCAGCAGTTGCATTTAATTGTTATGTTCTCAGCAATTTTACCCCACAATTAGGAGATGAAATATTGTTACATCTAGTAGTACCACTTTCATGTTTATTTTTGTAGTTTTTATCGGGAAAATGTTGAAATATTGAGTAGCGATCGGTCTCACGTGTTGGGCCCGGTGAAACAGGTGCGGGGTCCCGTGTACGTGTGTAGCCAGACCCGGTACTGGCCGAGGGTTGGGGACCAGTTACGATAGTTACAATCTTAATAGAGTTGAGCTTGACATATTTCCTGAAATTATTTTATAAATCCTCAAGGAAGTTGATTTTTTTTTTAGATTTTGGGACGATGACGACTGACCGTCTGACTGAGCTGTCAATCATCGCCCTTACCTCAGACTTTAGTACGTACGCGTGGTAAGTATGCACCAAAAGTTGTCTCAGAAGTGTTGTGTTCTCACAGATTTTCCTCACGATTGTCGAGAAAAGCGTAGCTGAATTTAGTAGCGCCAATGTCTTTTATCTGGGCTGATTTTTCGGAATCTTACAGAAAAATTAGCATGACAGACTCCGTACCGTAGCGTTCAACCTTATGTTTTCGGCGAAATTTGGCGAGGTCCCCGCCTGGATGGAGCCGGACTCACGGACCTTTCCCGAGGAAATTTTTCTAACGTTGCAAATTCATCGGTTTTGTTTCACATGCATTAACATGTTCTAATTCATGTTGAGTTTTTTTAACTTGCTTATACCTAACTAAATACATGATACAGGTTAGTATAATACTTTGGTTCATTGCAATGCCATAAATTCATATTTAAAATATACTTATGTTTTTCCTCCATTTTTTTTACAGATCATCCTTTTGGCCGATGTCACGGTTTCCAGTTTACTTTGAAGCAAGCAAGCTCAAGAAAAGAAGACAGCTTGTCAAACAGGTCAGTGTGGTTTCTTGCAATACTGTAAATTCCCATTTGAAGTACGCACCAGGCATATTTGGGCTGTTGAGAGACAATTCTGACCTAAAGCTGAGAAAACTTATTCCCTCTCCAACCTTGAACAAAATATGAACAGAATAAATTCAAATTCATGCTGTTTCTCAATGACTTCTATAGATGTCTTTGCTGTATAATCATGCAGCTTAGAATGTTTCACTATTTGGCAACCAGTCTTTTGTAACAATACAAACTTTTTACTTGTTCAATTGTTTCATACTTCAGTGATTACCAGACACTTTTTGAGTGTTAAAAATGTGCGTACTTTAATGGGGAATTTACAGTTACTAAGTTAAACGTAGGGAACATTTTGGACATATTTTAATAAAAGTGCCTTGTGTTGATCTTTGATAACATTGACTAAAAGTACAGGGGTTCTAGCATAGCATTGCAATATGTAGATCTGTAAGACACACACACTTGATCCAAGATTGCTGTAGTCAGAGAGATAGCAGTATAATAGATCTGCAGATGAATAGTTATTGATGATTTGGAAGTCAGGCATCAAAAGCTGTATTAGATTTAAATTGCAGTCGACTTTCCTAGTCCATTTTGTAAGTGATAGAATGGACATGCAATGATGTAACTATGCACCAGTCTTGCAATGTACGTACGAGAAGTTTATATGACTGTAAGTGGAATTTAAAATAGCTAGGTAAAGTCCAGAAGACGACACCAGAAGGCACCACAGCGGATACACACATTAGATAAAGTGTTTATTTTGGATAAAGATTTTAAATAGATACTGAAAAACTCCTGAATAAAGTTTGCGGGACTTCAACTTTACGCAAGGAAAAGTGGAGTCCCCCTTTAGACTTCCTACAAGTCACGTTAACTGGAGTAGAGCGGCGACATAGTTGTCAAAATGTAATTACTTTAACTTTCAAGTACTAAATTGAAAGTTTAAGTAATTTTTTGTTTATAAAAAATATACTAGAGCTTTTAGATCCTTTTTATATATCAATGGGTAATTTTCAGAAAAGTAATCTGGTTCTCATGGCACATTTAGTTTCCAACATTTGCATAGTCACAAGGCACACCAAACTTTTAGCTCATGTCAGGCCAAAGGACTTCACTGAGTCAGACATTATAAGTTCTGTTGAAAAGGAAGTTCTTTAGCCTGGCCTTATGATCAGCAAGAGGACTTCTGTTGTTCATGTACCTAGATACCCAGGTGAGCAGCTTTGTTATTTGTTATACTAACCTGCATTCACCATCACCAACCTTCCTGTATCCTTGGGGGGTTAGGGTTCAAGTCAGCGGCAAGGGAATGTCCATTATGGCTTAGGAGCTGGACATTCACTACCTCCCTCACTGCCAGGCCTTAAAACCTGGTAGCTGCTTGGCTTGGACCAAATCCTAGACATAGCTGTAGCTCTAGTTGTAGTACTAACATTATAGCTAACATTATGTATAGGTTAGCCATTGAGAAACTGCATGCTGTATTAACATGTGCTTTTTCTCCTCATGCCAATAGTCAAAGAAGCTCTTGCATTTATACCTACCCCTCTGCATGACAGCAGCTTTGCAGCGCAGGCACGCGGCGTGGCAGCAGCTCCCTACTGATTATAACAAACCAATTGCTACGGCTAACATTGTTGGTCATGTTCTCAGCGTTGGGCAGCAGCGTCTTGAGTATGGTTTTGGCAGACAGCAGCGTCTTGAGTAGGGTTATGGCTGACAGCAGCGTCTTGAGAAGGGTTAAGGCAGACAGCAGCATCTTGAGAAGGGTTATGGCAGACAGCAGCGTCTTGAGTAGCGTTATAGTAGGCAGCAGCGTGTTGAGTAGGGTTATGGCAGACATCAGCGTCTTGAGTAGGGTTATGGTAGACAGCAGCGTCTTGAGTAGGGTTATGGCAGGCAGCAGCGTCTTGAGTAGGGTTATGGTAGACAGCAGCGTCTTGAGTAGGGTTAGGGTTAGGGGTTAGGGGTTAGGGTTAGGGTTAGGGTTTGGGTTGGGGTTGGGGTTAGGGTTAGGGTTAGGGTTAGGGTTAGGGTTAGGGTTAGGGTTAGGGTTAGGTTAGGGTTAGGGTTAGGTTAGGGTTAGGGTTAGGGGTTAGGGTTAGGGTTAGGGTTTGGGTTGGGGTTGGGGTTGGGTTTAGGGTTAGGGTTAGGGTTAGGGGTTGGGGTTGGGTTTGGGGTTAGGGTTAGGGTTAGGGGTTGGGGTTAGGGTTTAGGGTTAGGGTTAGGGTTAGGGTTAGGGTTAGGGTTAGGGTTAGGGTTTAGGGTTAGGGTTAGGGTTAGGGTTAGGGTTAGGGTTTGGGTTAGGGTTAGGGTTAGGGTTAGGGTTAGGGTTAGGGTTAGGGTTAGGGTTAGTGTAAATA